ATATATCATGCTCGCAATAAGGATTACAATAAATACAGTAAACGTCGTTTTTTAATTACAAAATAACTTAATGCATGCTGGGTGGAAACTGTGAAAAGGTCCGAGTAAACAATTGTAAAATAAATCGTTTATTTCCCATGTGTCAACTACAATTTCAAATAGGCCACCAAAGTCTACAAAAATATGTTTTTCAAAAATACTTACCACTATACTGAGGAGTTTTATGCAACCAGTTGAAAAAATGTATTTCAAATAGAAATCTCTTCTCTCATTCAAACATTGCAATGTGCATTTTAATATGCATCAGTTTAAAAACTGTGTTTCACATTTTCTTCTCTCATTTAAATATTGCAATGTGAATTTTAATATTCTATTTATAACATTATTTAAAAAAAATGTGTGTTTCAAATTAAAAAATTCTTCTCTCATTTAAATATTGCAATATGGATTTTGGTATTCCATTTATGGTATTAGGTATTTTATTATTGGTATTAAAAACTGTATTTCAAATAGAAATTTTTTCTTTCATTCCAACATTGCAATGTGCCTTTTGGTATTCTATACATTTTTATTCATTGCAGTGTTTCTGTGTTATTTGTTTCCCTAATAAAAATGCACTCAATTTCATATCATAACTGCATAAAACCCACAGTGACCACTAATAACATCGTCAGCTACCCAGATCGAGGCACGAGTACACATGCATTATAACAATGTCTCAAGAATTCTTCTCGAGGAGAAACTCTCAGGGTATCAACTATTTAAAAGATTCTGTAGTATATTACACGAGCAGTTGACATTTAACGCCGTTGGTTCTCATTGTTTATTGAAACTGGAATCCTCCACAGAAATAAATTTCGCCTCTTCCCCTCGTATGAACTCACGTGTAACAATGTAAGTGCTGCAACTCAAGTCAACGTTGTTACAATATAACACTAACTTAATGCACTCTAAAACTGCAAGAGGGATCGTCGATCCCGTGTTTTCGAACTCCACTACTAGGCAAGACTAACGTCGTATCTTATGAGATTCTAATCTTATGAGATTATTTCGTTTAAAAATATCTGTGGTTTTATGTGAATTTTCTGGATTACTGTCTTCTTTAAGGGACTAGGAGGTGCGCGAACTCCCGGATTTCGCTTGGGCCCACAAGCACGCTAATTATGTCCCTCATGGTGAGATGTTGTATAGTTTCGTTAATTTTACCGCCTATGTAACTCTTGATGGGCGGAAGTATCTCGGGCTTCACTATGTCTAGTGCCTTGGGCAACAGCTCCTGGAATACCTGCGCATACAAACGCGTCGCAAATTGTATTCTCCTCCTATTTCTTCATCGCACATCGCGCAATCAAATTTCTTTTCAATTCTCTCGCAAAAATGTTCGGTAACAATGGCGTAGCTGCTGTAGAATAGCAGCGGTTGGTAATGGTCGATCCTCACAGAGCGTGCGATGCGATGCGCTGCGTTTCCGTATTTTTCGAGTTTTCGACCGGGTCTGCCAGTGCTGTAGGCTATTC